CACGAAGGAACAGTACATACCCAGAACAACCACAGTATAAGATAAAGCATATCCAAGAGAATATTCCACAGCAGCAATACAACCCATGAAGACACATTGAATTCTCCAACAACCAGAATGACAGCAGCAATAAGCAGCCAAACAAACAACTCGGAGACGTGTGAAGGATCACATACAAAATTACAGTGTCAAATGATTATAGTTGAAAAAGAATTTGGACGGAGAAAAATTATAAATCTCATTGATTGAAGACAAATACAAAAGTTACAGACGGCCAAACAGGATCGGATAAACTCAGACATAAGATAGAGACAAGATTCTTAAATATTGCAACAAGGAACCTAGTGGCGGCAGCAGCGGCAGCTCGAACGCAGAAGAACAGATAGAGCAGCATGATCATTACCAACCAAGCATAAGCCCGGGGGCTGCTCAACCTCACACACCAGCATATCTACGAATGAAGAAAGAATTGAAGAAGAATTTTCCTACTCAAGGTAGAACCACAACCAACAAAGAAGGTATTTATAGCAAACTAGAGGTAAACAAGGCTAAAGACCACAAGAAAGAGAGAGAAAAAGAACAAAAGAGCAAAGCAACAAAGGCGAATAGTGCCCAAAAGCAAGATTCCTGACAAAAAGTAAAAGAAGACGCTCACTCATGGCAATACAAAACCTATCCGTGACCAGCAAAAGACAAAGACCAAAGGAGTACAAATCAAGACCCTTCTTCCAGCTTCTTTTCAACAGAAAAGAACCCGGAGAAGGCTCGGGGGCTGCAAGTACCTACCACAGAAAAACATATTTTCAAATTTTTTGACCCTCCAGCTTTTTTGTACCAAAAAAAACAAGAGGCTCAGGGGCTACACTCAATGAGTGCAATTTTTGCAAAATTGCACTCGCTGCACTCAAAGGAAAAAGAACCCAGAGGACCTCAAGCAAAAGTGCACATCAGCCAAAAGAAGAATCAAAGAAGACCATCTCAAGATTTCACTTCAAGAAGGACCCGGATCAAGACTACAACAACTCGGCCCTTGAAGCTCAATCATGAAATGCTCGGGGGCTTGTCGATGGGGAACCCTACGGGCCCCCCATAGACCATACTGCAGGGAGGTAGGCCTTGGTAACAAGGCCTACAATCCAATCGCCAAGAAGAACGCGGAGCAAAGCAATGTGCAAAACCGAAACTCCAACGCAAACTATACAAGGAAAGGCGCCCGAAGCGTAGCTTAGGACTCTGACCTTGTATCCGAATTGGACACAAACAACGCCTCTCAGCGCCTGGACTATAAAGGGCTGGTGAGGGTACCCATTGTAAGGAGAGAACACATACCCGATACTCAAAGCAATACAACGCAAACAGGCTAACGCCAAAACTGGACGTAAGGTTATTACTCGACCAAGTCGAGGGCCTAAACCAGTATAGATCGTGAGTCTCTTTGCGTAACCGCCGAATTCCGCTATTCGCCGAAGCCCGAACAACTGTCTCGGGTACCCCCGTGGCAGGCTATCGGTGGTAAAACATCGACAAACCACTAAGGGCCCGTTTAGAACGCAGGAATAAAAAACACAGGAACAGGAAAAAACATATGATTGGGGTAAGTGTGTAGTGGTAAAACAGAGAAAAAGGAAAAACACGGGAAATAACTAGAAGGGGTGTTTGAAACGCAGGAATCCATAATGCAGGAAAAACGCAGGAATCCATAACACAGCGTGAGCGCAAGCACCGTAGGAAATTTTCCATCGACTCGGAGCTCATTTTTTGTTTCCTACAAAAGTACATGCTTCTCTACCGTTCCTATGGAAAGTTCGTTGCCGATTCCTCCATACCAAATGGGTAGTGACATCAGCAAAACAGAGGTTTGGGTTCCTTTGAAATTCCTTTGAACTTCCTCTATTCCAAACAAGGCCTAAGGGGCCGTTCGATTCCCCAAAAATGACTCCATGGAAGGATTCCAGGCTGGAACTGTTAGCTAATTTTATACTATAAGCTAATGACTCCATAGAAGGAACTGTTAGCTAATTTATACTCCCTCCGTATTCAAAATACTAGACGTCCTGGGCCAACAACCCATTTTCATATAAGCTGACCTTATGGCCTCCCGATGGAAACATTGGACGCGAATGCCCTTGGCCATGCATGTGTCGCCGCTTCCGTCCCTCGCCCTCGGTACTTGCAGCAGAAGCACGCGCGCCTCCTCTCTTCGTCTCCTGACGCAGCCACGCCTCCTCGCTCCTCCATCGCTCTGTCTCGCAGAAACTCTACCACCACCGCCTTGTTAGGGTTTAGACTTCGCCATGGATTCCTGCCGGTGGAGCCTCGATCGCCGCTCGAAGGAGGTGCTCGCACACGCTCGACGCTCGCCGGTCTCCGCGGACGTCGCGCCAGTCTCCGCGGACGTCGTGCCGCACGCTCGCCCACGGTCGACGCTCGCCGCGCACTTTATTTATCATGAATTCTCTGATCACCTCCCTTGTGATTGATTGAATTGGCTTGATTACTTCCTCTCCACGAAGGCGATTGTGACTTCCTCTAATAGCTTGTTCAAAAGTGACTAGTGGAAAGCAACCTATTTTGCCATCAAACACACATTCTCCATTTCTAAATCTTGGCCGAGCACATACACACAAGAACATGATCCTAGGGATGTAGTTCTTGTTTTTGCAAGTTCGATGTGGCTCATCTTCCTCGGGTAGCAAGTAGTACCTCTCTAATTTTTTACGGAGGTAGAACCACTTCTCATCAATAAACACAAAGTCAAACAAATCCTTGAACTTTGGATCATCAAGCAAACCTTGGTCAATCATGTCAATGCACCACTTCAACCTAGTCTTCTTGTTAGCATTAGTGAGATAAGGTTTGATACTACTAGAGTGGCGCCTAATCAAACCCTTTTTCAAATACCTTTGAATCCTAGATTTGCTAATACCAAGTCTACTAGACACATCTTCTATTGTCATTCTTTGTTGGAGAGGAATGTTGCGCAATTGTTCCAAATCAAGAGGGATTGGTTTACGTCCACTTCTACCTTTCTTTAGATTAGGAACCATGACTAGAATGTTGTCAGCAAGTTGGTTTTTACCTTGCTTCCATATGCGCTGCACTGATCGAATCTTTACTCCAAATTGAGCACCAACAATTGTTGTATCATGCTTGCCTAGTTTGCCATTTTTGCTTCTTATCAACAATGCTTGGTACACTTGTTGTCTAACATGATCAGAATAATCATGCTTCGGTTGGTTTACTTGATCGGCATGTTGTTCTAGCAAAAGGAAAAACAACCATTTTAATAGTACTCACGTCATGATCTATTTATAGGGGAAAAAACAAAGACACTGATATAATAGATGTTCACTGCATGTTCTATTTATAGGAAAAAAAACAAGCATGTTCATGGTAGTAATAGTAGTCACGGCATGATCAAAATATAGGACTATAACAAGCATTTTAATGGTACTCAAGGAGTGAAATAAATATAGGAATCTGTACATACTAAAAAAAATAGCATGATGTAAATATAGGCATGCTTACCATGGGGGTTATGTAAATAATCAAAATCTATAGCTCCAAATTCATCTAGTGGCAAGTTCAAATCAATTCCTGTCCAAAAATAAAAGAGCATGCTGAGAATGGAACCGAATATGCATGCCATGCTCCACCGAATACAATGAAACAATTCATGTCCAAAAAGAAAAGAACATACCGTTGCCATGCTCCAACGGAGGCTCGTTCAGATCAAAAAAAAGCGTTGCCGTCATCATCTTCATGCTCTGCGAGATGAAACTCAGTGTTGCCATCGCCATCTTCATGCTCTGCAACATGAAACCGTTGATGTCATTGAGATCCCACGGTAGGTTGCCATCGCGCACACAGAAACAACAAAACAAAATGGAACTAATAATAGATGGTTACCGCTGCCGTCGTTGAGATCCCATGGCAGGTTGCCGTCCTCTTCTTCTTCTACACGAACGTTGAGATCAAAGCCAGAGAAGTAATCAGCCATTATGCCGTAGTAGTAGATGTGCAAGGAGAACAGCTAGTCCATGGCGGCGTAGTAGCACCAAGCAAGGCAGGGAAGGCAAGGGAGTAAATGGCGTTGGAGAAGAGAGAAAGTAAGTTGCCGCATAAATAAGCCAGTGGCGTGGAGTACAGGCAGCTCAAACGTCGGTCTTCTCATTCGAAACGAGCGCGTACCATCAGCCATCCGAGCGCGCAGACGAAATAAGAAAATCAAACAACCTGAAACGCGCGCCAAGCGAAAATGCAGGCCCCCAAACGACTCCAGCTTCCATCCGCTCGAAAAAGGACGCGCCACGCTGGTGGAACAGTGGCATGCACGCCCATGCAAAATTCCCATGCAAAATGAAGGGCAACAAAAAAAAATATGGCTGCCAAGGTTCGAACCCGAGTCGCAGCACTCATGCCTCCACGCACTGGCCAGTTGGGCTGAGTTACTTTCTCGTAAAGATAGCACCCGCAACCATATTTATTAGGGGCAAAGATGGAAAACTAATCCCTAATTAATCTTCCTTGGTTACCACAATCATGTCCTAAACGTCAGGTTTTTTGGGTACAGAGGGAGTATAAGCTTTAACTCCCTAAAAGGATTGCTGGCCTCATTCTGCCATATGCCATAACCGAACGAGCCATAAAGCATTTTCTGTTTGATGAGAATTAATAAATGAGATTGAAAGTGGAGACATTAAATATATTACAAGTTATTATTATTAAAACCACCCTCGTCCCCTCCGATCCTCCTGGAGAGAGGATTATTAAACGAACCAGCCATAACAGGGGCAATCCCTCCATCAGCCGGCTTCGAGTTCCCTGCTGGAGACGCCAAGTCCGACTTCGAAGAGGAAAGGGACATCTTGTGTGGCCTTTATAGGGAACCCATATATGATTTCGCGGCGGCGCTCTTCCCTTCGACAGGACGACGACGTGCTCTCCGCTTCGACAATACGACGACTTCGCCGGGAAAGCACAAGACGAACGACAGCAACATGCCGAGACAACTCAGCCAAAAGATTACCACCCGCCAGGGGGCAGAGCAGATGACTGCCGAGATCCAGGCCACACAGATACAGGGCCAGGTTCCTTATTCAACCCTTATGCTGCCGTGGATGCTCAGCTCGTGACTCAAATTGTGTGATGCTGAGCAAAAACTTGCTGTTGTGCACGGCAAATTTGGGACTTTGGGAGATAGTTTCACTAACTTAGTAGCAATTCGTTGGGGCTGCTATCCTATTATATTGGAAAAGTTGTGCATGTAATGCTTAGATCTGTACTGCTGTGTTTGATATTGATGAGTATATACTATATGTATTATATGTTCTGTCATGTATGTTTGCATAGCATTTGTTTTGAGATCTGTTCTTTCTTTCTCTCCTGTTAACTCATTCGAACATCAATGTAGGAACATGAGCAGGAAGATAGGATTAGCGAACTTCCAGACTACATTCTCATGACTATTTTAGACAGGCTTGAAAAACTACGGGATGCTGTGAGGACCTGTGTACTTTCAAAGCGGTGGAGCATGTTCCGGGATTGCTTTCGGAGATTGTTTTAGACGTGGGGCACTATCAGTCCGGGGAGGCCAGTTCTGATTATACACGTGATGAGTTGGCACAATCCAATGTCTCATTGGTTGAAGCCACAAAGAGTATCTTGGCACATAAGAGTCAGCACACCATCAACTACCTGAGCATAAAGTTCTATGTGAGGGATGAATCAATTGATATTGTTCGTTCCGTGGATAACGCCATGGCGAACCGGGAGGTTACTAGAGCAGACTTCACAATCATAACAGAGAGACTAGAGACATCATGCGTGTATGGAAGACTTTTCATGACATTCTTGGATGGTTATACCCGGGCATTTGGCGGTCTCACAGGCTTGTTTGACATGCCTAATGTGCTTTCTGCATGTCAGAAGCTAGAACACCTTATCCTCAACAGGTGTGACGCCGGGATTGGATCTGTCTTACAAATAGAGCACCCGCAACTTTCTCAGTCGAGTATTATGCATTGTGCATGTGATAGGATTGAGCTCAATCGGCTTCCAAGGCTTACTCATTTGACCTGTAAATCTTGGCGTCCTTCACATGATACATATCCATTGATCTTCGGCTATGTTCCAAAGCTTTCGGTGCTAATCCTTAATTCTGTGGGTTCTATTTACCACAGAAATATTAGGCTAAGTGAATTCCTCCATAACGTGGTCATAGTAAATCTGGATTTGAATTTTCAATGCCGAAAGGTTAGTTGATGATAAAATATTTTGTGATTGAAATTTTATATGTCCATAGTAATGTTTCTTTTTAAGATTTTTTGTACTTTATTTATCTGGGCAGATTTGGATTCAACCTGAAGCGCCAAAACGATTATTAGCTCATCTTTTGCGTAATCTTAGAATGCTTAGACTACGTTTCATTCATGAAGAGTGTGACCTCTCTTGGACAATGTTTTTCTTAGAAGCTGCGTCCCTCTTGAAGAAAATAGACATACAGGTACACTTATTTTTCTAATTGCTCCAAACATTTTTTTGTTGATTTTTCGACATATATGTAATTGGGATATCTTCATTTTTGCACCATTTTACTCCAATGAGGTATTCCTTTTTTTATCTCCTTTTCTTTATGTTCCTATCTCCACCCTTGGAAATAAGACTTTTAAGAAATATATACTATTGTAGCATAGCACATGAAGACAGCTATTATGTTTTTTTCCGACTAGCTATTATGTTTGTTTTCAGTCTAGATGATAAATGATCATTTGAACAATCAGCAAATGACATCATGGGAACTACTCCCTCTGAACTTAATAAATATAACTCAATTTAGCTATAATACTAAGTCAATCATTTCAATTTTGACCATCACTGACTAAAAATTACATATAGGTCAAAATAACTTTTTTTGCATATAATTGTTTCTCTTTAAGATAATATATATATTTTTAAGATATTGTTGAGCAAAGTGTAATGTTGGAGACAGTTTCGATGTCCAAATGAGATCGATGGAGAAGTATAAACCTGGTCTCTTTTTGCAGGTGTGGGACCATGTGTGTGATGCAAACGAAAAGGATTTGTCCAGCGAGGAATTTCAGATGCAGCGAGAAATTTTTAAAAAGGGAAGTGATCACTTGATGAGTTGGGAAGCACATGATTTCAAGCATTATAATCTGAGCAAGCTTAGGATAGAAGGTTTCCAAGTAGAAGAGAAACTCAAGAGATATATAAGACAAGTTCTGAAAGCAGCAGTGAATTTAAAACTTGTAGCACTCCGTAGAAGTCGCCTCTGCGGAAAGTGCCGTATTTATCCTTCATCAATGGCATATCCACCAAATGAAGAGCAGAAGGCCCTGATAAGGGTACAAGTTTCAGACCAGATATCCTCGAATGCTAGAATTAGATTTTTCCCTTGATCATATCTTCGCATTACGCGTCCCTTAAGCATCATAGCTCTCATATCTTGTTCTACCATATGTATGGACGTCTTTATTGGAGCCAAGGGTTAGTTGTCAAGGTAGCAATATAACGGCATGTTACCAGTTTGCCAATTGTAGTGCAACCATTTCTACTTTATTTTTTAAAAGACACGGCAAACTTTATCACAGGTCCGTGTGTACCTGAAAACACCTATATTTAAGTTTTAACCATGATCAGCTATACGCCGCTATGTCACGGATTACTTGAAGACATGGCTTCAAATGAAAATACTTAAAGAATATGAGAACAGTGGCTGCACAGATCAGTGATCAGACATATTTTTTCAGCGATACCAGCTTCCAATACAGCCGCATATTCCGTGGTGCCAATAGCCTCATCCATAGTGCGGTCTGCGGTGTTTTTCGGGAATCCTCTCTCGATTTCTTGTTTCCTGGTTGTTTCTATAGTACGCTCTCTGTTTGAACAAGCAGCACCTTGTTCTTTGCTAATAGCAGAGGGCCTATCACTACAAAATGGTCTATGTGACAAGCATTTGTGATAATCAAAATATTCATTTGCAACTTAATATTTTTATGAGCGTTTCAGTTCATACAAAACAGAGGCCATATTTGTTATATTACTTTAAACAACAGGTTAACTAAGGAACTGAAAAAATTGAATATTTTACTACCTTTATCCATTTCTTGATATAATAAAACAGCAGCGATATAGTAACAAAACCATTATTAATGCATAGTACGTTTATTGGACCTGAGATTTGTACTGAAGAATCACACCACATAGTACAAATTTCATAACATTCGGATAACATATGCAACCTATAAAAATAAAACATTGGAAACATAATTATATTTATATTTATAACTCCCTTGTTTTGGCTCTTTTAAGTGTGAAGCATGTACCGTAGTGAACTATTAACACGTGCATCCTATTATGATTTTTCCATGATTTATTGGAAAAAAAACTTCCTACAAAAAATAGAACAACATATACACTATTCTATTTTCTACATTTACAAATGAGCTTTTCTGAGCTCAAAACTTTTACGACAGAGATATAGTACTGAAAGAAAGTTATTGTAAATTCATCACTATTTTTGGATGCACCGAATATCATGAATAAAATAACTAGGGGCAAATTTAACCTATTTTAGAGGTATTTGGGACTGCTCCACGAACTTTGCTCTACAAACTCCACCGTGCAACTCCACAAAGAAACTGGAGTTTGTGGAGCACCCCTTTAGGTACTCTCACAACTTCACCTTTTTTCCTAGAGTAGAGTTGCGTGGAGCTAAACCTGTTTGGTTAAAAAAATATGGACCGGAGCTGAAAAAACATGAGTGGAGCAGCCCCAAACATCCCCTTAATCTAGCGAAACATGGTCATTTCGCTTAAAGCAATATTTTTAAACTGTATATCATATCATAAGGTGTGTACATAATTTTTATTTTATATTTTTGAACATTCATTTGATTTATTATGAATTTATTGCTGTTTTAATTTTTTTTAGAAAGACGAGAAAAAACGATTAAAAAGAAAAGGGGCACTTGGGCCCGGCTCAGCCCAACAGCGCAGAAGCCAGCCCAGCGCGCACTCACACAACGTGGCTGTTTTATAAAAGGGCCTCGATAAATATATGAATCCCATTCTCTGTTCTATCACTATCCATTGCTCTTTAAAATTGTTTTTCCCGGTCCCTCTCCTCATAGCAGAGCACGCATACAACACATGGCCGGCGGCCGAATCCTGGCCACGGGCGGAGTCGCGGGCGGGGCATGGCTGTGGATGGCCGCACCCGTGAAAACGTCATCTCGGCTTGGGGGGGAATCCCCCACCTGATGAGCATTTCATTGATTGTTGGCTCTCAAAGCCAGATAGGTTTACAAACATTCCATTTTACATTTTGCTGTGCTATATGATTACATTCCGTTTGACATCACAGAGCACCAAATCGTCCCAGTCTACCTGATGAAACATTCCTCATTTTTAAAACGTCTATTTTACCCCCTAGCTTTTTCAAAGCCAGAATAACAGGGGGTGCTACAGTAACTGTGGTTTTGAATTTCTTTTTTTATTTATTTTCAGTGAAATTTTGAAAAATCATAAAATGGAAAATCTAATTTTGTTGGACTCCACATGAGTAGATCTATATAGTGAATATATAATACAGTATGCTTTAGTACAATTTTTACTGTAGCCTTAGATTAATTGGAAAATCTAACTTTGTCTGTAAATTTAAAAAGGAAATTCAAAAACACTGTAGCAACCCTCTGTTACTGTAGCAGACGTCGCTGAAACCCACCCTTCAAAACACTGTAGCAACCCCGCTGTTGCTGTAGCACCAAAAACCACCTGTGGGTAAAATAGACAAAGTTCGGTTCGATCTTCTTGTAGCAGTCTTGATCCCATCGTAGATAAGCTTGATCCCCGTAGATAAGCTTCAGATTTACATGCCGCCAAAGTTGCATTGCTCACCTCTGAGATATGTTTGTCTCCTTATTAGACTGCTAGAAATGTCACGTACAGAGTATACCTTAGTATTAACTCGATCCAAAATAAAGAATTGTTTTAAAGACTTTATATGAACCCGATGTATTACGCTTGAAAATTTTAATACATTTTTCTTAATAAAAAAACTTGGAACAATATGAATAAATAAGATCCTGTTTTCCTCTCATCCTCTCCCTCTAATAAAACAACTAGCTGTCCGCAACTCCGCATCACTCCGGTACAAATTTGAAGCAGGTGTGCAGCTTGAAATGGTGTGGCTATTCATTGAGGTCTACTAGGCCCTGTTCAGATCTGCTAAAATTATCATTCTACCTAGTAGCCAAGTTTACTAAAATGTGCTAATGACTACGATCTAGCTCACTATTAAGGCCCTCTTTTGGAATGTAGAATTTTTTATCGTTTTCTATGTTTTTCTTGTAAAAAATAACTGATTACTGTAAGTTTTCTATAAGACTCCTGTAAAATTTCTACATTCCAAAAGGGTCCTAACTCCTAACTATGGCTTTAGATCTTTTTTGCTAATTCATAGTCAGTTTTCCTGCTAATGATGATCGCTGCTCGCTAGGGACACCACCCACCAGACAGTCACATGACTCTTATCACTTCTTCGGTTCTCCTTTATTTTACTCCGAGTGGAAAGCCCAATTCCAAAATGCCGGCCGCCCGGCCCCATCGAGCTCAGCCTGCTGTCCAGCCATCCCTGTCACGGGTAACCTGCTCAGCCACGGTGCTTTCGGAGCTCAGTGCCTCAGCCCTCAGTCACGCACACCTACCTCCAACAGCACGTCCGGATCATCTGCGACCGCGAGCCCTCGCTCCAACCGTCGCCGACCGGTGCGACTCCAGGCGCAGCGGCGATTAGCTCCGGGAAGGCGCAGCAGCGGCCGCACGCCGTGCTCATCCCGCAGCCGGCGCAGGGCCACGTCACGCCGATGCTGCACCAACGTCAACTCCGAGTACAACCACTGCCGCCTGCTCCAGTCCCGCGGCAAGGACTCCCTCGTCGGCACCGACGGCTTCCGCTTCGAGGCCGTCCCCGACGGCCTGCCGCAGTCCGACAACGACGACGTCACCCAGGACATCGCCGCGCTCTGCCTGTCCACCACCGAGCACAGCGCCGCGCCGTTCAGGGACCTGCTGGCGAGGCTGAACGCCACGCCCGGCAGCCCGCCGGTCACCTGCGTCATAGCTGACGGCGTCATGAGCTTCGCGCAGAGGGTCGCCGAGGAGATGGGGACCCTGGCCTTGGTTTTCTGGACCACCAGTGCGTGCGGTTTCATGCACTTCGCCGAGCTCATCAGACGAGGCTACGTGCCACTGAAAGGTACATCAGTTCTGTCGGATTCAGACAAGAATTGCATCGAGTTGAGCTCGGATCTGATCTGAAACAAAAAATTTGCCAAAATTAACTAGCCACCCGCACACCGAGGACTGAAATGTGACGTCTTGTTCTTGCTGTGCACTCTGCTTAGACGAAAGTGACCTGACGAACGGGTACCTGGACACCGCAATCGACTGGATCCCCGGCATGCCGGGCAACCGTCTGAAGGACATCCACAGCTTCATCAGGACAACGGACAGGGACGACGTGATGCTCAACTTCGACGGCGGCGAGGCGCAGAACGCGCGCAAGGCCCGCGGGGTCATCCTCAACACGTACGACGCGCTGGAGCAGGACGTGGTGGACGCGCTGCGCCGCGAGTTCCCGCGCGTGTACACCGTCGGCCCGCTCACCACGTTCGCGAACGCCGCGCGAGGTAGCGGGCTGGACGCTATCGGCGGGAACCTCTGGAAGGAGGACACGAGCAGCCTCCGGTGGCTGGACACGCAGCGGCCGGGCTCGGTGGTGTACGTCAACTTCGGCAGCATCACGGTGATGACCGCCGATCAGCTCGCCGAATTCACCTTGGGCCTGGCGGGGCTGCGGCTGGCCGTTCCTGTGGGTCATCAGGCCGGACCTCGTGTCCGGCGAGAACGCCATGCTGCCAGAGGGGTTCGTCACGGACACCAAAGAAATGGGGATCCTGGCGAGCTGGTGCTCTCGCACCCGTCCGTCGGCCTGTTTCTGACGCACTGCGGGTGGAACTCGACGCTGGAGAGCATATGCACCGGCGTGCCGATGCTCTGCTGGCCGTTCTTCGCTGAGCAACCGACGAACTGCCGGTACGTGTGTGACAAATGGGGGATTGGGATGGAGATCGACAGTGATGTGAGGAGACAGGAGGTGGCGCGGCTCGTGCGCGAGGCAATGGACGGGGAGAGTGGCAAAGCGATGAGAGTGAAGCCGATGTGTGTGGAAGGAGAAAGCTCGACAAGCAGTGGACGAAGATGGATCTTCCAGGAAAAACCTGGACCGACTGGTCGAGTTCCTGCTCGCAGGGAATGATATCCCTAGCTGAATTTACTTCAAAATGCTTCGTGCTGATTTTTTGCTTCTCCTAAAATTTTCTTTTGGAATTGGTGTTATTTGCCCTGTTCTTCAGCAGTATTTTTCAGCGAAGGAACAGAGGAATCTCACGAATGAATCAGCATAAGCATCAACATCAGTCAAATTTCAGCGAAATGAACAGGCCTTATTGTTTCAAATGGAAAAAAAATTGACATCTCAATCCAACTATGTCCAATATTAATACGAACATACAAGTCATAGGAAGTAAAGGAGCCACGCTACCAAAAGATAAAAGTCTATTTAACCCCTCTAACTATATTGATGGTTATCTATCCCTCATCTATAAAAGTAGGTAATCTACGTCTTTAAGTATTATTAAAAATTGTCTAGATAGTCTCTTTAGACAGCTTTGAATATGGTTTCGTTGACGTGGTATATTACTTGGTGTGGTGCTGGTATGACGGTGAGTCAACAACAGCAAAAAAAAAAATCTACATAACCTCCTAATATAATAAGGTTGACTACGTAATCCACTCAACTATAGAACTTGACATTATAGCACCTTAAATAATCTAATATTATTTAAATCCCATCAGATGGTTTTTATAGGGTTGTTTGATACCGTATCCTACCACAGTGGCTTAATTTTCATGCTTGTATCTAAACCCATTCCCCTGTGGACAACAAATTTGGTACCATATGCATGACAATTTTTTTCCTCGAGGCTTGCCCATTAAATGCCTGTTGAACAACACCCAACCTCCAGGGATCACCTATGGATTCGTTTGGTTAATGTCTAATTTATTAACTCTAATTAATCTATTATTAGCAGGATAGTTGAAGTGTGACACTTTATAAAAACTGTGGACAACAAATTTTAGGTATCCATATGCATGATAATTTTTTTTTAGTCTCGATTTAATCTGAGTGTCAAAGATTCGATTTGGATTAAATGGGGTTAGGGGAGGGGTGTTTGACAGCGTGAGGCAGTAAAAAAAAAAATTATAAAAAGAATTATCGATACTGTTCCTGCTAGTAGAATTTATTAACTACAATTAATCAAAAGCCTAGAACCTCGTACGCTACTATGGTACTTTTCATTGTCAAATAATGGACTAATTAGGGATTTTTCATTTTGTCAAAGATTCGTTTCTACAGAAAGAAATTGCGTTCGCGTGTATGTGACGCATGTGCATTTTACGTGAAAAAAAAAAACACATTCGCTCATATTTATGGAAATCTTGCTCCCTCGCTATTCGCTAACCACGGCAAAGATTCAACTGAATGGAAATGTAAACTTTTACAAAAGGAGGAACTAAAAAAGTGAGGCAGTGTGCTCCTCAAACAAAAAAAATGAAAAAAAGAAAGAATACGATACTGTTCCTGCTAGTAGTAACTTTTTCTCGCTGGTAGTACAATTGCTGAAAGTCAAAAGCCTGGAACCTCGTACGCTCGTAAGGTACAAGATTTCACGCGGAAATATTTGGATTGATTGAAGGATTTTTCAGGAATTTTGTAGTTTGCCGTTTCTACAGAAAGAAATTGCGTTCGCGTGTTTGGAAGGGATTGACGCATGTGCATTTTACGTGAAAAAAAATACATTCGCTCAGAGCTGATGGAAATCTTGCTCCCTCGCTATTCGCTAACCACGGCAACTAGTCAACTGAAGATGGAAAAAAAACCTGCACAAAAGGATTGAGCAGCAAAAGAAAGATCAATTCTCACGTCCGCTCCAGAACAAAGAAACTGCATCCATCCATAAGAGCCCGAGAAAAGGTCGGAGGCCGAAGCTTTCCTAGCCATAGGCCGCCACCACGGTCGGTTTGTTTGCTGCAGCCTGAACCTGAACTTTACTCTCTCTTTTTTGACGAAAAGCCTGAACTTGAACTTCGACGGAGAGAACGCTACAGGAAAGGGAAGTGAAGGGATAAGATAAGAACGAAGGATTTTAGCTTTTTCATATATAAATCTCATACCCCCTTTTTCTGTGTTTTTTCGAAACTATTCTCCGTGTATATTAAAATAAAACACGTGACGTGAGAGGTTCTTGGCTTGGCTAACTACATTTTCATTACTATGGGCCCACCTAAACCAATTTTCCTTTTATATATTTAATTATTATGTTTTGCTGTTTTTTATTTACTTACGTAGTTCCAACTTCCATTCATATTCTATGATGTTTTTTTTCCATTCATGCATTTCATCCTGTTCGTCTGATGGTTTTTACGGCTGATAAGCCGGCTGATATTGTTTAATTATGAGAGAAAAACACTGTACTTGATAAACCGAGCTGATAAATTCAACCAAAATCTTTTTATGCAATCTAAACACTCTAAGTTCCCATTCATGCGTTTTAGAATCTCGTAGTTTTTCACTTTATGCTCTACCTAATTTTGATAGTTTCTGTAGTTTTTTTTTATTTCTTTGTTTTCCGCTTGTTGCGCACGCTACCGTACATACCACATCGAGTACCTGAGGTGTTGTGGGCATGTCAGATGTGGTCAGCCGGTAGACCGTCTTGGCCCTTGTTTAGTTACGTCAGAATTCAAATTTTGTACTATACAAAAAGAAGATTTCCCATCACATTAAACTTGTGGTACATGTATAAAGTACTAAATGTTGACGAAATCAAAAACTAATTGTACAGTTTGGTTGTACTTTGCGAGACGAACGTTTTGAGCCTAATTAGTCAACGATTGAACAATTATTATCAAATACAAACGAAATGTTACAGTGTGCTACAGTGCACCAGAATTCCGGCGGACGCCAATTCGGCCGGCAACTAAACGGGGCCCTGGCCAAGCACCAAACCATGTGAACTGAAGGTGACTAGGTAAGACTAAGGTGGTGTTTGGTTGTCCCTCTTAAATTTAAGTCGTTGTCCTATTGAATATTTGGACACATGTATGGAGTATTAAATATAGATTAATTACGAAACTAATTACATAGTTTACGACTAATTTGCGAGACGAATCTTTTAAGTCTAATTAGACCATGATTTGACAATGTGGTACTACAATAAACATGTGCTAATGACGGATTAATTAGGCTTAAAAATTCATCTCGTGGAGTACCGATGGATTATGTAATTTGTTTTTTATTAGTATCCAAATACTCCATGCAACATCCTTCCAACACACCTCTTAAATTTTAGTCGCTGGATGCAAATAACACCTAATTTTCTCGAAAATGTAAGCCGGGAGCCCGGGAGTGGGTGACCGAGCGAGGACTAGTACCGGGGAACGGTGCGACTGCCGAAAGTGGGATGCGCGCGCGCCCGGCTCTCGGCTCCCGCGCGTCGCCCATGCCGCCTAGCATGTTATTTCAGCTCGGTCTCGGTGCGACTGTCCCTTGTTCGGCTCCGGCGCTCAGCGGGGCACGCGTCTCCCTGGCTTCTATGGAGCGAGCTATGGGCTATGGCCTATAGGGATTGCGTAGTCGGATCCTTGGAGGCCGTACTACGAGGATACGTGTGGTTGAGCCATGGCTTTTTGAAAAAAAAATGTTGTGAGCTGAGCGCTTGTAAAAGCTATTATAGGTTATGACATGTGAAAAAAAAATGAAAACCGTTTAGAATAGCTGTGGCTTGTCAGCGGCCTCACATGTCATACATGAGCCCGCATGTCAATCTTTTCTCTCCCTCGTCTTCTCCGGTGTTTCCCAAGGGAGCGCCGGCTAGGGCAGGCCTTTGCGGTGGCGACGAATTTGGCCTACGCGGTGGAGTGCGGCCAGCATGGAGAAGCATATATGCTACCTGTGGATTCTATGGGTCGATCGCCTAGACAGGGAATGAAAAGAAAAAAAATGAACCAGGATAGTGTGGCAAGTGGGTAATTTCGTAGAGAATCACGAAGCCACAGCCGATAGAATCACCTCTCGAGTTGCTTTGCTTTGGACTATGACTTGGTGGCTGACAGTGGGCCCTTCAATCCAAGGGAGGCTCATCCGAAGCCTTTGGATCCAACCGACATCGATCAACGGCTGGTGAAGTTCGGATGTGCTCCTCGCCCCCCCAGATCAATGACGTGGCAGCAGGAGTGGAGGCGTCGAGCGACGCCCTGGTGGGGTCGGCCGACCCCACCAGGTGGGTCCTGGACTCCCTGCCATGTGGGGTCCCTTCTAGAAGTTGTTTTCTCAATATTTTTGACCATTTTGCCCCTGTATGCAAAGTCTCCAAATACAGATGGAACTAGGTCATTTATAAACATAAGATACTACTTGTGATGTGATTTACCTTCACTTTTGTAGAATGTTGATGGTCAAATAACATGGGGTTTAGTGACCGTCAACATGGGCAGATAAAATAATTCAACCTCGTGTCAAAACTTTTGCTTAGAGATTACTGAGACTCGCAACGGAAACAACCAACAGGGTTTATGGGATTATTTCAAATGTCAATGAGACATGCTATAATAGTACTGACTTGAAAGATAAAAAACATCTTTTTTTATTGCAGCTTTGTTAGGGTTGTTTGGTTTACCTCACCGACTGGACTTAGAGCTGATGTCTTGCCTTCATCAGACCATGGGCTCCACACTCAAATTGCTACTATTTTATAGAAGGACCATCACATGCTACCACAGGTATAATTCTCGATCTCTATGATGTGGTGTCTTTGGAAAGCACGCAACGATCATAGATTCACAACATAAATTGGTCAGTTGCTAGTTTTATACGAGGCAAATACAATTGATAAATCTTCCTACATGCTATTGAGGACGATTTTGTTACGAGTATTCCTACACAACCTGTGGCAACTTGCTTACAGATTCCAGTTGACCCTATAGTTTTTTGTGATGCCGCTGTAGGCATTCAAGCTGCCCCCACTCCAAACCAAACAGGCATTGGGATTTTCATTCTTATAACACATGCAAGAAGTGTTTTTTCATGCATCTTTTTTTTCATGTGGCCATTCCTAGGTTTTGGAACCCTTGGAAGCTAAAACTCATGCCCTTATTTTTGGTGCCAAACTAGCTATGCATGGCACTAAACTTGCA